TTCAGGAATGAAGCTTGGATCACATCACCTGGTATAGGTGCTGGCTCAGTGCAAAGGAAACATGAAACGAGTAGAGGAAGAAGGAAGTGACAAATATCAACTACAGGGTCATGACTAGATAGGAAAAAGGTCTATATCTAAACATTAGTTTCTTCTTTGCTTAATGTATATGTGTGTGTTTATGTATTTTTATATATATTAACGTTTTCTTCTTCTTCTTTCCCATTATAATTTTACAAATTAATGGAAGGGGTTAACTTTAAAATTTCATCTTTAGGTTACTGAATATTCAAGAGGGACTCTAACTGAAATTGAGGAGTAACTACTAACATCATCTAGAGCAGCGGTTCTCAACCTGTGGGTCGCGACCTCTTTGGGGGTCAAACAACCCTTTCATAGGGGTCGCCTAAGACCATCGGAAAACACATATATAATTATATATTGTTTTTGTGATTAATCACTATGCTTTCATTATGTTCAATTTGTAACAATGAAATTGGGGGTCACCACAACATGAGGAACTATATTAAAGGGTTGCGGCATTAGGAAGGTTGAGAACCACTAATTTAGAGATTAATGTTAATGACAATTGGGACCTTTTCTTTCTTTTTTTTTCAATCCTCATCCAAGGACATGCTTTTCATTGATTTTTTTTTTTTAGAGGAAGGGAGGGAGAGAGGGAGGGAGGGAAGTGAAACATCAATCCATTGCCCCCTGCATGCACGTGCGCCAATTGGGGATTGAACCTGCAACCTGGGTATGTGCCCTGAATCAAACCTCAGAGTATGGAACAAAACTCCAACCAACTAAGCCACAGCAGTCAGGGTTGGGACCTTTTATTTTGCAGGGTGGGGGAGGTGAGAGTGCCTATTTATACAAAGGATAATTATATCTTGTTAAAGAAAAGCTGAAATTTGTTATTGATGTATGGGAAGTTGAAATAGATGTAGAAAGTTGTGTATGGATATTGAGTAGGCAAAGTGATGAGCTGTTTCAGTTATTAAACCATTTTTCTTTTGGTCCAAACCCATACTTTTATATTCTGTTTTGTGATGCTAGAGCAGATTTTGAGAACTATATTTCAACTTTGCCAGTTGACTTCCTGTTTAATTCTGCAAGGCTAATGAGAGAGAAAAAAGACATTTCTTTCCTGACTATTAGTTATCAATGATAATGTTCAGCTTTTGAGGGAAGGAGGAGCATTCCTAGAGTCAGCCTCATCATACCTAATCAAAGATATCAGCAATAGTTCGGCAGTAGCCCCTCCTCAGAGGTCGGATGGGCCTCTCCTTCAAGCTTGCTTTTGTCTCCCCTAAGCTAGGAGTGGTAGCTTCATCCTATAGTTCCTATCTCTGGGTTAGCTCACTATCCCCTTTTTTGCTTTTTCAGTTCTCCAAAACCGCATAACCAATTCTTTACATTAAATTCTCTCTGTTGAAAGACCTAATGTGTTTTTTTGTTGTTCTGAGTGTATCCTGACTGAGACAGCTTGCCAACTCCCTTCAGTACTAGCTAAACACAAAGAAATATGGAACAAATGATAGAAGAGGGTTGGGGGGCAGAGATGAATGCGTGGGGCAGATGACTTTTAGGGCAGTGAAATAGTTTTTATGATATTATGATAGATACATATCATATCTCCTCAAATCCATTCTTTGCCCTTTCATTGCTCTGCTCTGTACTATATTAACTGATCTTTCTATTGTCTCCATAGAATTACCTCTATTAACTGGCTCACTATCAGCTGCTTTCTGAAAGGTTGGAGAACCAGGAAGGGAAGGAATAAACGAGGATATTTCTCTCCCTCTCTATTCTAGGGAATTCTTTGGTAGTGACTAACTCCTTAGGGGCCATAGCTCCCACTAGAATTCCTAGCCTCCAACAGATGACCCCAGCTCTGGGATTCAGTAACACAGCCTTCTTATCTTTGTCTTTCCAGATTACAAGCAGTGGCTCTTCTGCTGTTACTAATATCTGGGTTGCTTTACTTTCTCAATAAGCACTCCGTTCTTCTATCACCTGGAAACCACTTCCCTGAATTACATTTTCTCTATTGCAAACACTAGAAGCAGTTGCTATTTTCCCGGTTGTCCCTGACTATCAAAACAGATGACAGCTAATCCCTCTCTATGTGCATTGTAATATTAGTTCAATATTCTGCAACTCTCCCACTTCTGGAACTGTTTATACAAATATACCTACACACCTACAGAATGAGGGTTGTACAGGTTATTCAAAGCCAAAAATGAGAAACAAACCCAAGTCAGTCTCTATAGGGAACTGGTTAAATAAACATTGGGACATCAACAGAGCTGTAAAAAAGAACAAGGAAATTCTCTATGCCCTAATATATATTATTCACTGAAAAAAAACAAAGCATAGAATAGTATAAATAGTATGTGATCTCTCATGTAGGAAGTAGAAGAAAGAACATGTGTGTTTTTGCATTAAAAAAGACACACAAGAAACTGATCATAGCGGTTACTAATAAGGGCAGGACAAAGGAGAACAAGGTAGACGGAGACAGGATAGAGAATTCTCAATATAGGCCCTATATTGTTTTGAGCCACATAGATGCATAATCTATTAAAAAAGTAATAAAAATTATAATAATGCATATAAAGAAAAAATTGCAACCTAGTCACTAATTGGAAAACAAAATCAATACCAATACACACATAAAATTGTAGGAAAAACAAAAGATGAGAAAAGAATACACTCTTTATGACTTCAACTAAATTCTAGAAAAGGTGAAACTATGGTGATAATAAAAAGATCAGTTGTAGTCAGGGTTAGGGGACAGAGATGAATGCGTGGGGCAGATGACTTTTAGGGCAGTGAAATAGTTTGTATGATATTATGATAGATACATGTTATGTATTTGTCCAAACCCACAGAACTACATCAAGAGTGAACCCTTTGGGTGATTACGATGTGCCCATGTAGGTTTGTCTGTAGTAAAAACATACCACTCTGGTGGGGAATGTTCATAATGGAGGAGTCTATACATGCGTGTGGGCAGGGAGTACATGGGAAATCTTTGTACGTTCCTCTCAATTTTATTGTAAACCTAAAACTGCTCTAAAATTTTTTTCTTAAAAAAAAAAAAAAGTGACCCCTGGCCAATATAGCTCAGTGGGTAAAGCATCAGCCCACACACTTGGGTCTTGGGTTCGATTCCCAGTCAAGGGTATGTACCTGGGTTGCAGGTTCCATACCTGGCCCCCAGTCAGGCCCGTGCACGAGGCAACCAATTGATGTGTCTCTCACATGGATGTTTCTGTCTCTCTCTCTCTCCCTCCCTCCCTGCTTCCCTTCCACTCTCTCTAAAAATCAATGGGAGAAAAAAAATACTCAGGTGAGGATTAAACAAAAAAAAATTTATATAAAAAGGTGAAAGACGAGAGGACAAGAGAAAGAGAGCAAATATACAAAGGGCTATATTCATCATTTACACAACTGGTCAAGAAACCATAGTGTATATTTTAACTGCCCTCTCTACCCATTCAAGTTTTGGTTGCCTTTGGCTAGTTTCAGTCAGTTCAAGTTCTTTGCCTGGCCAACTGACCCAAACTGATTCCTGAGGTGTCCAAGCCTGCCTTGTTTTTTGTTAAACTTAATAATTGGACATGTAAAAGGAACTGCCTGAATTTCTTTTTACATCCTTATAATGAAAGAAATTTTCAAATTTAAATTTATTAGGTGTAAATAGGCATTCTTAAAAATAGCAATTATATTTGGAAATGTTAAAAGGTTGGTTATTAATAATTTGTATACTCAATAGGGGGGATAAATTCAATGATGGTCCTTTTTATAAAAATATCAGAGATACCCAGGAGAGGAAGGTAGGTAATTTTTATGCAAAAGAACTTTGAGGAGAAAAAACAAGCTTAGATGTGGGACAATGTAGTGATTAGGGGAATAAGCACCAAGCACTATGAAGTAGAAGAGAGGTAGATAAAAGTTATAAAAGGATGTCAAGAACAAAATGCACCAATTTACAAACTGCCTAGCATCACTTCAGGATTTAGAAAACATCATCTTTTGCTCTTGCTTCTACACTTCACTCCTTGCTCTCTGGTTAGCACTGTAATCCATCTGCGCCTAAATTAAGAATTACATGAAGGAACCTGAGAGAAGGCTTCTTTTGAACATAAACTCCACTGAATACCATCACCTTTCTTGCAGCCACAAAATTGTGCATACCCAATATTCCTCCTGGTACTATTGAGGCAAAACATAGCTTTCTGTCACTTTGGAAGGTTTAGAATTCTTAGAAAAGTTTTGTGATGATTTCATCACCTGAATAAATTAGACCTAAAAATGACTCAATGACCACATACAGAGCATAAACTGATTAGCTTTACTCTAGGGGGCAAAAAAAAAAAAAATCACTGACACAATCAAACACTTTTATGAAATACTGTATTGTCAGTCTATATAAACATGGTAGCATTTACATTTTAAAAAATAACCTATATAATAAAAGCCTAAGTGACTGTTAAGGCGGAACGACCAGTTACTATGATACGCGCTGACCACCAGGGACAGATGCTCAATGCAGGAACTGCCCCCTGGTGGTCAGTGTGCTCCCACAGGAAGAGCGTTGCTCAGCCAGAAGCTGGGCTCACGGCTGGTGAGCGCAGTGGCGGTGGCTGAGGAGCAGCGAGCTGAGTGGTAAGGAGCAGCAAGCAGGTGGGCAGTAAGGAGCGAAGGGTCCTGTACTGTGAGAGGGATGTCCAACTGCGGGGAGCAGGCCTAAGCCGACAGTCAGACATCCTCCAAGGGATCCCAGACTGTGAGAGGGTGCAGGCGGGTCTGAGGGACCCCCTCCCCCCACCCATACGCAGTGCACGAATTTCATGTATTGGGCCTCAAGTTCCACTATATTGAATTACAATCACTTTGTTGAATGCTAATCATAATTTAACTTTATTACTTTTTGAGGAAATTTGTATAAAATCAGTTTAATTTTATAAAATGCAAATTATAGCAAAGACTCCTAGACATGATTTAGTGTATAGTCTTACTCTTTTCCTCTAAGTCTATGTAGATTTACTTAATAAATAATAAAAATAGAACTGAACACAGCAATAGTTCTTAAACTTCTTTTCTTCTAGTAGAAAAAGTTTATATTTTTGTATTATCAAGAAACCAATGTTTACAGGAGATAAAACATCACTTTTATATTTCAAAGAAAAAAGTAAAAGTGAAAGGAAAAAAATTATTTCTTTAATTCCTATATATGCTTTCACTTTTAGTAACCACACCCCTATGTTCAGTACTAATTTTAAAATCTTATATTTAGACCATTTTAACTTTTCAGGGGATGTGGATTCTATCAGGAATAAACTTTTAATTTATCTTTAGTTCAATTTCAGTGTTTATCATTAAAATATCACAGAGGACTTAGAGACATAAAAGAAGACTTGAGTAAATGAAGAGATATATCCTATTTGTGGATTAAAAAACTGGCCCTTCAACCATCCACGTAATGCCAACTTCTGCAAGAGGTCAAGTTCCTTACCTGTCATGAAATACCCAGGCTCTCTTGGTTCCCTCAACTAGTCAGCTAATATCTTTGAAATTTCTCTTTCAATCTGAGCCTCTCTATCCTTCCACATACAATGTTGGAAAGTATATTTTTTAGTGCCCTGAGAATAATAACCTGTTGAATAGAGAATCCCTCCTCCAACATACTTCCCCTTTATTCATTTGTATAACTTTGACAAAAATAGTAGAATATGGTAAACACTAGATGGAGCAACATTCAAGGAGAGTAATCTTCCCTAATCAAGAACTTACTTTCAGTATATATTACAAAAAAATCATGTCTAGAAAAATAATCACACATAATTTCAGGTCACCTGTACACATCTGTCAGGGAAGAATAAATGGCTTTGAATATCTCAGAGATGCAGATATGAGAAAACAAGCAGGACAAAGATTTGGATACATCATAGTCATATGTGATACTATAAGCTGGATTGTATACCCTCTAAAATTCATAAGTTAAAGTCCTAAAGCCTAGTACCTCAGAATGTGACTGCATTTGTAGATAGGGTCTTTAAAGAGGTATTTAAGTTTAAATGAGGTCATTAGAGTGGTTCCCTAATCAAATATGACTGGTGTCCTTATAAGAGGACATTTGGACACATAAAGAGATACAGCAAGAAGATAGCCACTTACAAGTCAACGAGTGAGGCCGGGAACAGATCCTTCTTCGGGCCCCTTACACAAAACCAACTCTGCTGAACCTTGCTTGATCTTGGGCTTCTCAACTCCAGAACTGTAAGAAAAATAAATTTCTATTGTTTGGGCCATCCAGTCTGTGGTACTTTGATATATAAGCCCTAGCAAACCAATACATGTGAAAAGGAATAGAACATAAGTTCCATGAGGGCAGGAATTTTTGTCTTTTTTGTTCATTTCTGTATCTCAAGCACCTAGAACAATGCCTGACATATAGTAGGTGTTCAATAAATACTTGCTGAGTCAACTAATAAATAAAGCAAATTAATAAAATTCTTCCTTAGATGACTCTATTAAATACCACCAATGTTTCAGTAATGCTTTTTTTGTTTTCATAACACCTGAGAACCTGGGCTCTGACCAAGTGCTGTGGTGTAATTCATCTGCCACCACAGCCCAAATCTATAAAATCCTCTGGTGAAACTCCTGTTATGATTCAATTCCTGGAGTAACTTCCTTATGGGAACTAAGAAGACAAAAAAGCTGCTGTAATACAATAAATGTAAACTAGTCCACATAGAGAAACAGATCAAAATTATTAGGCCCATCCTGGGGAAAATACCACACACAGATGTAACTTGCTGGTATTGCTGTTCCCTCAAAAGTATCTGGTTAGCTGATTTCACTAAAGATATTAAGAACAGCCTAACCCAACCATAAAATTATTTTCGTTGCCACTTCATAATTGTAATGTTGCTACTATAAAAAAAAAAGAAAAAAAGAACAGCCTAGATTTACAATTTAAAGAAAAAAATAAAGGGTTTCCTGTTGTTCTTATTAAAGCATTTCTTGTGTGGACACAGGAAAAAAGACTAATTAAATTTCCTTCTGACTTATTCAATTATGGATTCATGGTGCATGTCTGTTTTCAAATTGATTTCCATGTCTTAATGTCATCACTATCACCATCAATCAATATTTAATTTGGTATCTTGAATATGCTAGGGTAATGACATCAAAATAAAACACAAAAGAAATATGGAATATATAAAGTACTCTGATTTTAACTTATATGCAAACAGCCTTTAAATAACAGCTAAAGAAAAAATCACCATAATTATACTAGGTCTGTAGAGGTTATAAGTAATTCTCTCTTCAAATTATTTGTAATTTTATGCCTCTGTTTCTAAAGCATAAAGTTTTCAAAATTCATTCTAACTTCTAATAATTACAAGAAGAAATTTTAAGGTTAGAAGTTCCCCCCAAGGGAGAGGATGATACGCTAACATTTATTTTTAAAGTATGTTTAATAAATACATTTATATAGAATATACATGAGAAAGCCAGAATCCACCAGTTTCACGGGCAAGTGGAAGTCAGCATTTTGAAATCAAAATCTGGAAATTCTCATCCATTCTGAAAGTAATTGAAAAATCACGTCAAAACTTTTTTTCAGTGTTGAGCTTGGGATCAGCTCCCACATTGATGCAATCTAAAACTAGAGCCAACAGAGGTTTACCAAAGTCTTTGCCCCAAAGGGAGAGGTCTCTTTTCTAATTCTCCAGAAATGATGCTATTGGGCTTGCGTAGAGGCCTGAGACAAGGTAGCAGGTAGGAGGAATACAAACATGAAATTCATTTTGAAGTATTTTCCTTTCCAGCAAAAATAAAAGTTAAGTACTTTTTTTTTTTTTTTCACAATATGCAATTTGCAACCAAGCTCTCCTCTACTACGTTTGCTTCTCTTTCTTGGGAACCACAGCATAAACAGGAAGTTCATGCCTCTGGGCTTTTCCATGGCAAATGGGGAAAAAAAAAAAAAAAAAATGAAGCTGCAGACTTTCTCAAGGATGATTTAGAAAAGAAAGGCAATTAAATCACTACACTGCCCTCTTTATCTTATCCAGCAGGCTGATAAACCAAGGGATGATACAAGCTGTACTTCACCCTCATGAATATAAAGGCATTTGTATCTAAAGTTAAGGAAGTGACTGGAAGTCACCTGGGGAGCTCTGCATTAGGCTTTTATCACATACTAGTAGTCAAGTCTGCACCCCAGAGCAATGGCGATCAGCTGCTCTCAACACCTGTCACAATTGTGTGTCCTCGTTTCCCCTGGACAGCCACAGGGCTCCAGAGCTAAAACCAGAGAGTCTAATGTTTTACATGACCCAAACTCCACAAAGTGTTAGGAATTATACAGCCAAATACGGACTGCCGGGGTTAGGAATTATACAGCCACATACTGACTGCCGGGGTTCTTGTCCCAGCATCAAGAAGGGTTCAGGAATCTGGACAAGACCGTGTGTGGATTAAAGAGTCCAGAGACTAATAAAGAGTCCGGAGATGAGATATAATTTCGAAAGGCATTTGGGGGTCAGAGGAGCTTAGCTAAAGGAGCTTAGTTCTAAGGTCTTAAAGTCTAAGGTCTTAGGTTCTCCTTGTCCCCAGGACCCCATGCTTTTTATCAACACAAATTGTCCTGAGGGGAGGCAGTGATATACACTTCAAAGGGTCAGGGTTTGGTACAGAGTCCATTGTCAGAATGGGGGAATTAGCCTACGCTGTTCAGGTGTTTGGCCAGCAGGAGGCAATAACATGTAGATTAAGATGCCCTTTAACTGTCTGGCAGCCACAATCAATTTAATGTATCCTATTCAGGTTTGGGGAAATGCCTTCAGCCATTCCCAACCGGTGACTACATGTGTGACTCAACCCCGTTGAGTCCCCAAGTCTCATCAACTTTTTGATGAAACTCTTGAAATTATGACATGCTGGAACTGGTCTCCGGCAACTGACCACAAGGACGAAGGAAGGAAGGAAGGAAGGAAGGAAGGGAGGGAGGGAGGGAGGGAGGGAGGAAGGAAGGAAGGAAGGAAGGAAGGAAGGAAGGAAGGAAGGAAGGAAGGAAGGAAGGAAGGAAGGAAGGAAGGAAATCCTCACAAGGGAGATCTCCGAGGCGATGGAACAGCTGTGCACCTGGATTGCCGTGGTAATTACACAAGTCGGTGCAGGAGATAAGATGGTGTAGGACTGTCCATACACATTATGCCACTGCCAGTTTCCTGGCTTCCGTGTAAACTACTTGATGTAACTATGGGGGGGGGGGGGCGGAAACCAGGTAGGGAAACACACAGGATCTCTCTGCAACGCCCCGTGAATCGATATTCATTTCAAACTAAAAGGTCTTTAAAAGAGCACCTTGCGATGTACATCCACATGGCACTTTGAACAACCGGCATTAGGACAGCTCAGGGAGGATGAGACATAGCCTGGTTTCCCAATGTGAGGCTTCAGCCACAGCCCCGCAGGCGGCCCGCGCTGGGGAATAACGCGCACCCGCTGCCCGCCGGCCTGGGAGAGCCTCTCCGGCCTCCCGCCCCGCGCGTCCCCGCCCCAAGGCGGGCACCTTCCCACCGGGCAGGGCAGGTCTCCATGCCACCTCCTGCCACGGCTCCCCTCGCCCCCTAACTGAAGGAGGTGCCACTGCTGTTCTCTAGGTGCCTCGTTCGCAGCACCGCGTTCTTCGCCGCGGGCAATGGCTCGGTTAGTTTGTTCAACAAATGAACCCGTTTGTCCACAGGCTATAAACGCCGTGAGGACGGCGCCCGGGCTGTGCCTTGCCCGCGGGACCCACCAACGGGCACGCCGCCCGGCAGACGGCAGGTGCTCTCCCAGGACGTCACGCACCTCATTCGAGCTCATTCCAGGACCGGAGGGTGGTCGCGTCGGTTCCTTCCCCTCACAACCTCGGTCCTACAGACCAGGGGTGGCCTCGCGTCGGTTCCTTCCCCTCACAACCTCGGTCCTACAGACCAGGGGTGGCCTCGGCGCCCTCGCTTTGCCCACCGGGTGCCCCTCCGCGTCCTCCCCTCCACTCGGACCCACCCGTCCAGGGAAGGCGCCATTTTCTTCTCTCATTCGTCGGCCCAGAAGAGTGCCTTTTTCTTATTCGCACCTTTTCCTCAGGCCATCCCGTCAGCCCCCTCCCCAATAGCTTGAGACCCGGCCGCAAGCTTTGTGATAGCCTCGCCCCGCTTCCGCCTTTCGGGGGATGCCCCTAGGCCCGACCCCCGACCCGGGGGACGCCTCACCCCGCCGGCCACGCCCCTCAGCTCAGGGGCCCGGCGGGTAGCGCCCACCCACCGTCTGCACGAGAAGGGCGGTTGGGCGGAGCTGGGGGGCGTGTCCTCCTCGGAACTTGGCGTTGATTGGCCCGGCCGCGGGAGGGGCGGGGCTTCGTCAGGAGTCCAGTGCCCTGGGTCTGCACTGGCCGTGCCTTGAGGCTTCGACTACGTCTTCTGCGGTCGCGTCGCTACAGCAGTGACTTTGCTCGGACAGCATGTCTGAGAAGCGGCTCGGAGAGAACACCCACGCCCGGCGGCTCCCTGACAGCACCAAGGGTGAGCCCCGCGCCCCTGGCGAGGCCCGTGGGGTCGTCCGTCGCCCCCCACCCCTTGCCTCCGGGACCAGCCCCAGCCCGGAGGTCCCAGGCCCGTCTCCACTGCTTCGTGGCGGTGCGGCCGCTGCTCAAAGCCGCGGTTTCTTCACTCGTACCCCGGGCTTGATGAACCCGACTTCGCGGGCTGAGGGTCAGGGTCAGGGCTGTCAGGGTGCAGAGTGAACGATGCGCGCCCCGCATTGTGGGCGCGCCGACAGCACGGCGCGTTTCCAGGGCGCAAAGCCATCGGCGGGCTCGCGTTATCCGGCGGTTGCCAGATGCCAGGCCCGGCGCCAGAGCTTTCGGTTCGTTATCTCCGGCCACGCACGCGGACGGGGAAAAGCACCCGTGACTCGCGGCCGGCAAGTGCCGGAGGCGGGCTCAACCTGCATTCCACGCTTGGGACCCCGCGTCTTCCCTGCCTCCCGGCTCCCCTTTCCTCCCGCCCGTCCCCTCGGAGGCCACCTCCCACCCAGCCTTCGCCGCCCCCCAGTGAGCCCCCTCCTCCAGAAGTGGAGAGAACTCCTGCTCCCCCCGCCCCTTCCACCCCCCCTCCCCCCCCCCCCCCCCCCCCCCCCGCCCCAAACCTTGGCCACTTTCTCGTAAGAAGCAAAACCGACCTGGGAGGTTTCGCCCCCAGCTCCCATACATAATGGGCCATATTTGCGGAAGGAAAGGAGGAAGTCTCCTTTGGGCATCCTCCCCGGATCTATCCCCAGCTTCACTTTCTGCCCCATCCTGCTCCCTCTACTTTAGTTTGCCCTAATGACCTCGCCCTAGGCCCTAGAGTCTGGGGCTTGTGTCCCTCACAAGGAATTAATTCCAAGTTCCCTACCCTCATTCCCATCCTAGCAGGGCCTTCCCAGTCTGGAAAGCAGAAACTGAGTGGCTCAGTCATGTTCTCCTGTGAAGGAACTAGTGCCCTTGAGAAAGCTGTCACCTTGAACCATTGTCAGCGAACTCCTTAGGGGGTTCGTAAAGAGAGGCCACAGACCTCTCAGGAGTGCTGGTTCCCTCCCAGGGGCTCTTGGCGACCCGAAGGAATCATTTCCATGGATGGAACCTCAGACCGATGGCGCAGTGAAAGGAATGTAGGGGGCTGGGTGGGCTTTGCCAGCACCCTCACAAGGAACACCATAATGAACTCATCTATACTGATCATTCCCAAAGCCAGCCTTGTCCGCCCATCCCATATGAGCTCCATTTCCCTTGCTCAGACATCCTTGTCTTTAGTTCCAGGAGTATCAGGAGAATTACAGAAATCTTTATCCCTCACTTTTCTCTAGTGAGCGTTTTGTAGAGTTGTCTTCCCAAATCAGGAGTGTAACAGATAGGAAGGTGGGCAGGTCCTTTTCCCGGTACCCTGACCTTTTGGTGGGAGACTGAAAGTTTGGTGAAACTGCGGTGGGAAATCTGTTCTAGAAGTTCTTTGGGAATAAACATGATCTTTGTACTTAATGTCCCTTTAGTTCAGTGGTTCTCAACCTTCCTAATGCCGCGACCCTTTAATACAGTTCCTCATGTTGTGGTGACCCCCCAACCATAAAATTATTTGCGTTGCGACTTCATAACTGTAATTTTGCTACTGTTATGAATCGTAATGTAAATATCTGATATGCAGGATGTATTTTCATTGTTACAAATTGAACATAATTAAAGCATAGTGATTAATCACAAAAACAATATGTAATTATATATGTGTTTTCCGATGGTCTTAGGCGACCCCTGTGAAAGGGTCGTTGGACCCCCAAAGGGGCCGGGACCCACAGGTTGAGAACTGCTGCTTTAGTTGTTGCCATGGTCACAGACCAGTGTTCACTTCCAAGTTTTTTTTCTTGGTTTTACATTTAACTTTATTTTAGAAATCTTTTAAGAATCTAGTGAAAATTATGCGTTGTTTTATTTTTACTGGATTGTTTCAATACATCAGTGACACAGTTGATAATAGTGTTCTTACCAGTGCAATAATCATGCATGTTGATCACTGTTTCTTCTACAAATGCTAAAAAAAAAAAAAAAATCTGTTTTGCAGTGAAAATATTAGTGAAAAAGTTTTCAGTTAGTGCACTTTTTTTTGTTAATGTAAAACTTGGAGATCTGACATTGGTAGGAATGCCATTACTAGAATTTATTACTAAATAGAATTTATTGAGTGCTTACCACAGTCTGAGTGCTTTCAAACATTATCTAATTGCAATCCTCTAACAATTCCACAAGGAAGACATCATTATCCAATATTTTACTGCAAGGAAACAGGCTCAGAGTGGAAAAATGACAGACACCTGTGTGTGACTAGAGCTAGGTTTCAAACTTGGGCCATCTGGTTTTCCAAACCATTTTTCTATCCTAGAGCTACCTCCAAAATTCATACCCAAACTGAGGATCTTATTCAATATTTCACTGAAGGTGAGAGACAAATAAACAAAGCAAGCCCAGAGGAACCTAGCTTCAATCTAGATCTCTTGAATAAGACAGCTCCAGAGGGCTGCTTCTGAGGGAAGCAGTGCAATATAAAAGCCCTAACTCTGTCCCTTTTATGCTTTTGCTGATAATTAGTCGTAGGACCATAAATATGACCAAACCTTGGGCAAGACTAATTTTTCTTAAAGCCAGTGCATTCATTTTGTAATGAGATTGAATGCAAATGGATTGTAAAGAAATGTATTATAATTAAGAGTCATGTCAACAGAACAAATCCCTTTGAGAGCATGCCTGAAAATAAGCAGAAGCTAGGGACTGATTGTTTATTTCAGTTGTTACAGCCATCCGATTGGGGGAAACTTTGTAACTTCTTCAATAATTAATCTAGTTAAAAAATATTTTTATAAAAAATAATTAATCTAGTTAAACCATCAATGGTTATAAGTTAACTCAGACAGAAGACTAAGTATATAAAAGCTGGCATTTATCTATTTTTTAATGGTTAAATAGGTTCTAGGTACACCTGATGGTTTAAATTTTATGCTGGAAAAGACAGAGTTAATAATTGCCTGGTTAGCTTCAAAGAAAAATAAATTTAATGTTAAAATGATAGAGATTAGATTAAAACTGTATCTTTTAAGTAGAGGTGAAAAAATATATTCCTGAAAACTATTGTAACCATGAAAAAATGAGCATCTCTCCTGTCTGCCTGACATTCTATGTATACTTCTATCATAATATTTATTACACAGTATTATAATTACCAATCATATTCACCTTATTAGACCAGAAAAGTTTCTGAAAACAGAGATTCTGTCCTTTGCTGTAGTAAGTTCAGTATCAAGTACATAGTAGGGTTTGTAAAAATGTTGGTTGAAAGATAAAGGAAACAGAGGAGTGAAGTAAAGATCCTCTGTGGAATAAATCACATTGTTACATGTTTGGCTTATGTTGGTGGAAAGTTTTTTCCTGTCTATAGTTTATTAAGTTTTTTATAACCCAAACTGTTGATTTTAGGGTGTGAACATCATGTTCCTTATTATACGTTCTTATTACAGGAGGACTGTTTGGATATTGTCAAAAAATATATATTGTATCTAATACAGAATCTCCTTTTAATTAAAATGTGGAAAGAGAGAAGTTAGATATTACAATCAAGAGAAAGAAGAAAGTGTCAATTCTCTATTGACACACACTTGTTCCTCCATTTTTTAAAAAATTTTGTGTATATTCTGAGACTGGTAAAGAAACTTGAGCCGTAAGCATTGTGGCCTGACATTTCAGTAGATTAGTCTTAAAGATACAAACCATAAAATATCTGTCCTAAAGTATCAATAAAAACTATGCCAACCTTATTCAGTTGTGCATGTGCACTTATGTCAAGCTACTATAGTATTTAGAATTCAAAGATCTGAATTGAGATCTCAATACCAACCCTTACTACATGGGTTACTTTGGGCAACTCCCATAGTCAATTCCTCATATGTAATTGGGCGTAATCTTACTGCAATATCTATCTCCCAAGGTTTTGAATATCAAATGAGAAAATTTATTTGAATGTCTTCTTGCAACTTTAAAATGTAAATTATTAAGATATTTAATGGGGAAAATAAAAAAGTTAATGACTTTTCAGAAAGCCTAGTAATTATACAAGAAATTTTATAAAGTTATATGAAGACAGTACAAGAAAGTTTAGAATTCTGACTTACCTCCCCTAATGTGGTCTGAGTCCCCAAGCAGATTGTTAGTCTTGATATTTTCTCTATGGTGTGCAGGTCCCAGAAGGTAATTCATTTAGTAAAAAGTTTATTCCTATAAACTATATCAATAATGGTCTTAAAATTGTGGTAATAATAATAGCTACTATTTAGTAAATGCTTTCTAAGTGGCAAGCACTTTACATAGTTTCTCTTTTAATCTTCATTAACAGTATTAAGTACTGTTCTCTTCCCTCATTTTACTAATGAGAAAATTTAGTGGTAGAATTGGAATCTGACACCAAATCTCCAAGCAAGCTCATGGCTACTGCTAAGCTGTTGGGCCTCAGCTAAAGAATTGGGAGCCTTATGATCTAGTTTCTTAATGCTTCTGTTTCCCTTTTTTAAAAAAAAAACAATTAAAATGATGGTAACCTCCAAATACTTTCATGAGAAAAATTTACTTAGCGATACATTTAAGATGTCTACTAGTAAGTGAAAGCTGAAAAAGAAAAGAAAAGAAAAGTAGGGGGTTTGTTTTAATATATTTCAGGCCTAATATATTTTAGGCTAAATTTAATTAACTTAATACCATTATGAAATTGTTTT